GCAATGCGTAGAGCCTCCCCCCACCCCTTTTTTTTTGGTCACACTGTGGGTAGGTTTGGGAGTGGGAATGAAATATTGCTATTGGCAATTAGTGAGGAGAGGCCAAAGATGCCAAACCCCTTACAGTACACAGAAGAGCCTCTCAAAGAATCAGCTGGCCCCAAACACTAACAGTACCATAGTCTAACGAGAATTGAAGGGCATCACCACTAAAACTGTGAAAATAAAGACAAGATGATTTGGAACAGACCAGGTAAGACCCAAAGATACATACATCAGAATGAGGACAAGGATAATGCTGACGTTTCTAGTTGAATCAGTGAATAAACCATGGTACCAAAAAGCAGTGTTGGAAATATAGGTCAGTGGTAGACTGCTCACCTATCAATTACAAAGCCATATCTCAATCTCTAGTACTGAAAAACAAAACTTTTTATTTCCTAAGTGTAAGAATTCTGATTACTTAGCTTGGGCAGTCCAACAGGGCAAATAATCGTGTTGCCGGAGGTGGGGGTGAGGCAGCCCTGAAGTTGTGAGCATGGGAGAGCTGTCCCCATTATTCACCTGTCATGTGCATGGGTCGGGGAGAAATGCACCCCTCATCAGCGCCTGAGGCAGGTGGGACAGCAGGCCCTGAGATCAAAAGGGTAGGAGAGCTGTTCCTGCCCCATGCCAGCTGCAACACTAGGGACAGCAGGCCCTGCACCTCCAGTGGGCAGCTCAATAAAGCCAACCTCATTGGCAGAGGTGGGGGTGAGCCAGCCTCAATATTGTGAGCACGGAAGAGCTGTCCCCATCACTTACCTGTCATGTGGTACCACGGGCAGGGAAGAGCTGCACTCCCCCATCAATGCCTGAGGCAGGTGGGAGAGCTGGCCCTCAAGTCCTAAGAACGGGAGAACTAGCCCTGCCCTCACCAGCTGCAGCACTAGGGAGAGCGGCCCCTACACCTCCACTGGGCAACAGAGGAGAGCTGGCCCTGAAGGTGTGAGTGTGGGAGATCCCACCCCAAAGACGTAAAAGCAGCTAAACTTGTCCTGTCCCTTGCACGTAGCTTCAAGGGGTGTTTCACCAGAGCAATGCAGAACTCAAGGGGTGTTTCACCAGGGCAATGCAGAACCCACCCTAGTGGTGAGGACAAGGGGGAGCTGACAGGCTGACCAACCCTGCAACTACCCAGACCCAGGGTTATGTGTAGGCCCACCCCAACAGTGATATACCGGAACATATAAAGGGACCAGTTCTGCAGACCCAAAGCTGCAGGATTTCCACAACACAAGGCAACAGCAGGACAGCAAGGAGTTCCAGTGAGGGTCCAGCTTCAATAGTGTAGAAACCAGAGGCCTGAAACCAGACCAATGACTCTTTGCAGTGAACACTTACAAGTAAAGATAAACGGATAAAAGAGTTTACTGCATGACTCACGGTGTCAACTACAGCTTTCATGACGAGATTGCTTTTCCTTCTCTTTTTAATGATTTTTTCTCTTTAATTTAATTTAATTGGGGCGGTTGCAAGGGCAGAGAGTGGATACGAAGGGACAGGGAAATGAATGGGATGGAGATGCATGACATGAGAAACACAAATAATAAATAAAAGGGAGAAAAATTCTGATTAATGTAACTGTAGCTAAGTGGTTAAGACTATGAACTAGAAATCCGTCCCCCAGCACAAGAATAAACTTGCCAACTATGGATTGGGTATTGTGGCGCAAACATATAATCCCAACACTCAGGAGCTGAAGGCAAGAGGATCAGAAGTTCAAGGTCATCCACAAGTACTACTAAAGCAAGTTCAAGGCCACCCTGAGCTATAAAGAAAGAAAGAGAAGGGGGAAGAGGAAAAAGAAAAGGAGGAGAAGAAAGGGAGAGGGGAGGGCTAAGACTAGTGTTTAATGTACTAAAATCTCAATACATTAAGTTAAAGCACTCACAGGTTCTAAGGGAAAATCTTGCCAGAATTTTGTTTGTTTGGTTTTTGGTTTGTTGTTGTTGTTTTTTTTTTGGGGGGGGGGGGTGACAGGGTTTCTATATGTAGTTCTGGCTGTCCTTGAACTCACAGAGACCCCCACTTCTGCTTCCTAAGTGCTGGGAATTTTACTCATCCATGTCCATTAAATTTCTCACTCTCTATCCTTATGCCCAATCTCAGTCAACCTGAAATGAATCTGGAGGGTTCCAAAGTTAAAGAAGTTACCTGAGAGCGTGGCCAGGATTCGCTCAGCTGTCCCTCGCAGGGTCTCCCCGGGCTGCCACTCTACTTGAGGGAGCATCCAAAACTCCTGATCCCCAAGCTTCTCTCTGACTAGGAGGACAAGGTTTCTGTCCAGTTTACGATTCAACGAGGATCGGTCATTTTTTTTATCAGCTTCTACAAAAGAGATGATCAGAACAGAGAGGGAAAATTAAAAAATAAAAAAGACTGTGATCTAAACTCAGGATTTTTAGTTTTAGAACCTTCCTTTAGGGACAACCTCAAGCACTATCCTCTAAGAACTTATAGCCAAAGTAGAACCCTAACAAAAACTGAAAGGTAAGGACTAGAACCAGAGCTGAACTTCTCTCAAGAGAACAGAAGAGAAGCAATGCCTGTAACAATCGAGGCAGTTCACTTCCCTTACGAGCATGAGGCTCTGGGTTCCATCTTCAGCAACACATACATACAGTTCAAAACATATAAACAAGCAAAAACCTGCGCCACTGGGTTTGACACTGTTACTGAGATCTAACTAACCCCTACTGTCACTGTCCTTTAGTCATTATCCTTGAAACAAGGACAATAGGGCTCAACCCCAGCTTTCAAAGTGACTTCTAATAAAACAGGTATTAGGGAGAAAAGACTTAATTCCTCCCAGTCTCTGATCTAGAGTAGAGGTAAAACTCAAACAATAAATTGTAAGCTTTAACAGAAAGAGAAAGACACTTTAGGCCCCTCCTCCGAAAGCAGCTTAAGTCTTTTTTAAAAATTGTGTTTGGGGGGAGTAAGGAAGAGGGGTAAATGCTATTTTCCTGAAAACTGTTTCTTAAAGCTGCTTGTTATTGAATTGCAAAGCAGGAGTGAGGCAACTGTCCTTCATTTGGAAACCAGAACGCCCCACTTTCCCTTGCTTGGGGTTGGCCTAGGAGGTCACAAACCTGTAACTCGAGCTCCAGGTTTGAACTGCAGGAATGCCTGCTCCCACGCATCCTCTAAGTCTTGTACAAGTGTGATGCCCTGATCATCTTGGTCCTCATCAAAAAGGTCAGCTTTCTTCTTAGCCAGTCGCTTCGCTTCCTCCAGAGCACGAAGCTCGTGGTCTGAATACAGACTTCTCTCTGTCTCCACCTGGGGAATTTAAAAGGAAGAGGAGAGGAAAAAACAAAGCTACCACACTCTAGACAGACAGGCTTAGAAGCACATCACTTAATACACTCCGGAAATATATTCAAAACATTATACAGATGCAAAGAAGAAGAAAAAAGGCCCGCTGGACTGTAAACTTGAGTGAAATTTGCCAAAATGTCAGAATGTGATTAAAAGACCAAGACTGCCAGAGGGAGAAGAGGGTGGCAAGGCACTGCGGACCCTTTCCCACACTCTAGGTCTGCTCACGTCTCTTCAAGCACTCTCCTGCCTTGAAAACACTACAACATCCCTTCACTTACATTAACTCCCCTCACACTATTTCTCCCAGGTTTTTAGTCACCCTTCTGATTTCAACTTAAATACCACTTTCTCAGAAAGCCATCCTGGATACTTCTCATGAAAACTCTTCTAGTATTGTGTTTTCTTTTACAGCACTTAGCAAAGCCTGTACTTAGCCATATGACTGGTTACTGACTGCACCCCTAATTCCAGCGCAGGAAATTCTCTGGGAACCAGAGTTATGTGCCTGTCTTACCCGCGGCTGTATATCTATCACTTTACAAATGATACACAGTATGAGCTACCTGTAAATTGGGGGGGGGGGGGGGAGACAGATTACTAGTGGTCAAGGGGATGAATTAATTGAGCAAAAAGCACCGAAAAGAGTTCACATTAGTATTCCCAAGACAAAAGTCCCTCGGAGTCTAGGGGCAGGTAAGGTCTTTCATCACCATGTTCAGAGACTTAACACCCTGACAGAAACTACACTTGGTTTTTTTCGGTCCGTATTTCCTCATTTGCCCTTGACAGAAATTGCTCCCTGCGGGTTTTTTTTTTTTTTTTAAGTAAGCATTGCCTCGTGCATCTTAAGTATACGCCCACTGCTTCCGAGACTTTCTTCCTAACACTAATCACACCACAAAGATTTTGCTGTAATCTGTCAGCCCCTAAATTACAGGAAGTGAGTGATTACCATTCACCAACCGGTCCCTACCGTGCTGAATGTACAAGAAGGAAACTATCCACACAGAGTGCCCAAGCGAAAAGAAGCCAATTCAACTAAACTCTGGTGAACGCCTGCTACATGCCAACCCAACCCAGTAAGGTAACTTCCATCTTGCAGATGTCACTAAAGATCGAGAGGTGACATGATCTGCTCAAGGTCACACAGAGTCACCACGCAATCAAGGCCCACTTGGCACTGCGGCTTCCCTCTGCCGCACCTCGAAGCCCGCGCCCGCCTTACCTTCTGTAGCAGATCCGCCATCTCTTCCTGCAATGGGGTGAGCGGCTTGGTGATCAGCGGTGGCCGCTGCAGACACAAGGCGCCCCACAAGCGCCATGGAGACTGGCTGCCTGAGGGCGCAGCCTCAAGGGACAGGCCGCGAGAACGCGGGCTAGCTGCCCAGAGACTGCCGAGACGCCGCCAGCCTCGCGTCGCCCCTAACACAGTACGCCTCACGGGCGCCGCCATCTTTCTGCCTTCCCACAAGGTACCGCGGCCCCCGGCGGGGCCCTCAGCCAACCCTACGTTCCCATGAGGCAACGCGGGCCGGCGAGGGGGCGGGGCCACCTATGAGAACGAACCATTGCAATTGGGAGAGGGAGGTGAAATTTTCGTATTAGACCATTAAAAGGGGAGAGAGTCCCATATAGATGATTGTATAGAGCATTTAGACTTGAACAAAAATACTTAAAGAGCCCCTGAAGAGCAATCATGTGATTTCCCTTCTGTGTGCTCCCCCACGGATGCTCATGGTGCTGACTCTGGCCAGCCCGGGCTCCACCGACGGGAGCTGAATTGAGTCAATTTCAGTCATGCAGGTTGTAAGAAACACGGGAGCGTGGCTCCTGCGGTCTGGACCTGGGTTAACCAGGTAAGGGTTGCCCTTGCGAGCCCACGGCCACTCTCGAGCCTGCCCGCGTGCCTTCCAGCCCTATGTGCCACTTGAAGCCCTAAAGGATCGTTAAGTCAGTCCTTCACCGAGCTCTCCTTTGCAGGCTTGTGGCCATTACTCCGGCTCAGACTATCCACACCGGAGCCCCGAAGTTAGAAGACGCGGCTGCCAAGCAGGAAGTTGAAAAGGAAGCGGCTCCGAGCCGCTTCAGGTGAGGGCTAAGTGGGTGCAGTCCTCTGGACACTTGTATCCTGTGGCTTCTCCCCGTCACGCTCCAGAGTCATGGACAAAGTGAATTCCTGATGGCCATTCGCCATCTGTGGGAGTTTATGAAAATCAGTCTTTGAGTTGCCATGCTCTCAAAGTGCCGATAATGCTTAGAGGGGTTGTGGGTGAAGACAGGCGCGAACTGGCATAAAAGTGGCTGTTGAGTTGGCAACTGTTGGCTGAGCGGCAGACATAGAGATGTACCAGTTTTCTTGTGAGGTTGATAGGCTTTAGGTCCGACCAGCAACTTTCTCTTCCACCAACACAAAATGACTTAAGAAACGACACTAACTGCACGTCTTAGAGTTGGCCAAAGGTCCAGCATTAGTTTTGTGCCTAGCCCTGGGAAGTGGGGTCCCACTAGCATAATTACTTCATATGCAGGCTGCATGTGTGTCCACCTAACTTCACAGCTATTTAACAGTTGCTGAAAATCTGCTTACTACCTGTTGCATATCATAGGTACTGGAAATACAAAAGATTTATTTCACCCCTGAAGTAGTGCCCAAGGAAGGCATAGACGCAGATGTTTTAACCATAATCTGATGAGGAAAAATAGTGGTAAGAATGCTGGACATTTAAAAGAGTAAGGCACTCCTAGGGAAGTCAGATAAGACTTAAGGTACCCTGGAGTGCAGAAGTGAAGTGAATAGAAATTCAGCTGGGTAAGATCAGAGAGGCATCATTACAGGCAAAGGCAACAGGCTGGAGAGGCAGGCTGTCAGAGAGAACATGGTATGCGATGCTTCTAGAAGGATATGAGTGGTGAAGGACTTCCCTGTGGCCCAGGAGCTTTTACACTTTACCAGCTGCAGGCAGTGAGGAGCAGCTGATGGAATTTAATCCATGACTGTTATCGTCATTGGCTTGGCAATGCCAGGCACTATTGGGATTGTTAGCCTTACATCCCTGTTCCAATAGTAAAGGCTCTATCCAAGCAGGCAACCTTTGGGAGGAGCTGATGCCATTTGATTTATTCTCTTTAAATGGTCTTGCTGTGCAGCCCGGGTTAGCCTCAGATTCATAATCCTCTTACCTTGGCCTCATGAGTGGATTACAAAAGTATACCCCAGTCCCTGCAATCTTGCTTACTCTTCAGAGAGTCTTTGCCCACTGCACTGATGTTAAGCTACAGGGAGCAAGGATGGAAGCTGAGAGAAGACTTGAAAGCAGTTGCAAAGCAATAAAACTAGTCTAGGTAAAAATGATGGTGTCTGGACCCAGGTGGAATTTGATCCATTTTGCTGGAGTAGCCGTTGGTTTGGGTGTTTTGAGACAGAGTCTTGCTGTGTAACCTAGGCTGGCCTGGAATGTGCAGCAGTTCCCCCTACCTTAGTCTCCGGAGTGCTTGGGATTACAGGCCTTCGTCAACACCCAGCGAAGGGTCTTATATGTAAAATGTGAGAAGAGAGGTATGAAGGCTTAAGTCTGGGCACTAAACAACAAGCAACTGAAAATACGAAGTTGTTATATAGTGAGATGGCAGAGGCTGATGGAGTTTGCATCTGTGTGGTTAAGTTTGAGATGCCTTATACTTGCTTTAAAATGGCTTTGTGCAGCTGTATGTAATAAAAGAAGAAAATGCGAGGCGTCTAGCATCGGAGTAGAAGTGTAATATAGACAGATTTGAGGAAGGAAGAACCAGCGGGGGAAAAAAAAGAGAGCCTCCCCAGGACAGGTGGCAAGAAAGCCAGACAAGATGTTCTTCCTAGTGTGGTACAAAGTAAGGAATTCAGCTGTGTTCAGCACTGCAGAAAAGATGGGTTCACAGAAAGAGAGCATGATTGCTCATTGGGTATAACAGTGTGGAGTGGTTGGTGACCTTGACCACAGCTTTTCTGACGGAGAGGTCGGAAATAACTTCTAATTGGAGTGGGTTGGTTTCAAAGCGGATAAACAAGTATTGTCATTCCTGTAAGGGGGCTTTGCTGGAAGGGAGAATAGAGAAGCTCCTTGGGAGCTTGGGGTATAAAAGGTGGGGGTTATTCTTTGTTGTTGTTCTTCTTGTTTTGATTTATGTTTATGACATGACAGTATGTTTTGCTCCTGGGAACCAGGGGGAAGACCGAATCTGAAGTGGGAACACTGCAGGAACAGTGTCCTTGTGGGGCTAATATACAACTGGAACATTGTGACAGAGTCCTCTAAGGCCATGGGCACAGGTGCTTGATGGTAGAAGCTGGAAGAAAGTCTAATTGATTCTATTTCTCCGTAGCGGTCCTCAGCTGGCCCCGAGGAAACAGGAAGGGGTTGGATGCTTATGGAGACAAAGGGAAAGGTAGAAGAGGCATCCTGGAGAATGGAAGGATAATTGAACTGAGAATGGCTGTCAGGCATCTTGAGAGCCTGCTTGAGGCTGGAAAGTCATTAAAATGAAACAGTGGTCCTTGGTAGAGACTTTTAGCAGTGTCTAAAACCTCTAGTGGTCATAAATTAGGAGATAGAACCTAGTGAATTAAAGCCAGGAATGCTACCAAGCTCCCTGCTGTTCACAGGACAGCCTCCTACAGCAGCATTTTATCCCAAAGGGCAGTCAAAGGTCCTGGTCGGCCATGCAGTGTTCGCACAGCCTCAGATTGTCCAGAGAGGTGGATTTAATAAAGGCCAGGAGAAAGTGATGAAGTAAGAGGGTAATCGACAGTAGGCTTTAGTCCAGGTAAAGTGCCTGAGGTATGTGGAGTGACAGAGATCTGATGGGCTCATCAGAGTGCTCGCCCTGAAGATATCGAGACAAACATGGGGGTGGTAGCCAAGGGATGCTTGAAGTCAAGGTTACAATGCATGTGCTGTCAATGGTAATGGCTGACTGTGACCCCAAGAAGTACAGAGGCAAGGAAGGACAGAGGACAGATGATGATTGAAGGAGACAAGGTTAGAAATTAAAGTGAAGAACTTTTGGAGCTCTTGCTGAAATCAACAGCAGTTATATAGAAGTAGTGCCGGATGGGGGGATGGCTCAGTGGTGAAGAACACTAGCTGGTCTTTCAGAGGTCCTGAGTTCAATTCCCAACAGCCACATGTTGTAATGAGATCTGGTACCCTCCTCTAGCTTGCAGGCAGAATAAATAAATAAATCTTAGAAAAGAAGAAGTAGTAGTAGTGCCAGAGGACACTGAACCCCACCTATGGATTTTGCAGTTTATTTCCATTTTTAAACAACTTTTTTCTAAAGATTTATTTATTTATTATGAATACAACATTCTGATGTATTTCTGCACATCAGAAGAGGACACCAGATCTCATCATAGATGACTGTGAGCCACCATGTGGTTGCTGGGAATTGAACTCAGGACCTCTGGAAAAACAAGCCAGTGCTCTTAACCTCTGAGCCATCTCTCCAGCCCCTAAACAACTTCTTTTTTAATTAAAAACAGTTATATCGTCCCTCCCATTTCCTCCTTCTAACCCCTCCCTTATGTCCCCATTTTTCTCTCTCAAATTTATGGCCTGTTGTTGTTGGGGGAGATATTCCTCGTAAAGATAACCTGATCAATTATGGAATGTGACTTCAGGCCTGACCACTGGGTATTGGATTACCCATCGGATGCTGGTTCTTCCATTCTCAGCATTCTGTAGTTGCTTGTATTTGCATTTTTAAAGATCATGCCATTAAGCCAGGCATGGTGGTGTACACCTTTGATCCCAGTACAGTATAGACAGAGGCAGGCAGATCCCTGTGGTTGAGGACAGCCTGGTCTGCATTATAAATCAGGTCAGCCAGAACTATGTATTGAGACCCAGTTTCAAAAAAAAAAAACACCAATTAGGGAATGAACTGCCACCCCAGACTAGTTCTAGAAAGCTCTGTCTCTGTGTTGTAGGGCCTTCCTCAGATGAGCCATTGCTCATTATACCTTCTACCTGGGACAGTATTGCTTTGTTTTGTTTTGAAACTGACTCTTGCTATGTATCCCAGGATGACCAAGAACTCTGTCATCATAGCTGGTCTTATGGTGACAGACCCTCCTGACTGGGATTATGGGCATGCACTACCATGCCCAACTGAACCGGAGAAGTGTAGAAGCCTGATCTTGGCCATGCCCTAGATTAAATGGCTGGAGCTCCTGGTTTCAGAATCTTGCTATATAAAGGGGATTGTATCAGTTTTACTCAGACTTGTATTTGCTCACTTCCAAGTCAACATAGGGAACAAAAAAAAAAAAGAGTGGGGAAATGGTCATTGAAACAGTAATGTTGTCCACAGGACTAAGACACTTTCCCTGTTAGTACAGAAACTGGTAGGCCAGCCACCTACAGAGGCTGCACGTCATCGCTAAATCAGGCCCACAGGAAAGAATGCACTGTGCTGAGCTTTTGAAAACATCCCTAGAGAAGCAGATGGGGCTGGGGGTGCTTGAATGGTAGCGTATTTTCTAAAAACGATTTCAGCATTGTAGAAATATGGCGTGGGTGTGTGGGTACAAATCTGAGTCTGGTTTAGGTGTGTAGGCATAATGAAACAGCAGGTTTACTCCCATCGGAAATGCTGAATGGCAGTCACGTGTGTGTTCTAATTGTTAAAAAGCAAAGCTCAGGCCCAAGACCAATCTCCTCAGTCTAAAACCTGACCTCCATTGCTGGCCCTGTGTCTAAATGAAGAATATGGTCCCAGGGAAACTCAACAAGCAAATCAGACTAAGACTAAAAGACCCTGAACGCAGCACAGCGACAAGGCTAGTGTTCCCAGCCCTGAAACACTGGGTGTCCAGAAGGGATGGGAAGGAACAGTGCAGAGAGCCCTCTCCAGAGCCCGAGGCTCTTAGTTTTCATTCTGGTTTATCTTAGTTAGGGTTTTTATTGTCGTGAAGAGAGAAGTCCTTTAAGGAACTCTGAGAAGGAAAACATTTAATTGTGGGGACTCACTACTAGTTTCAGAGGCTCAGTCTATTATCGTCATGGTGAGGAGCATGGGGGCATGTAAGCAGATCCGGTGCTGGAGGAATAGCTGAGACTTACATCTTGCAGGCAGCAGGAAGTCCACTAAGACAATGGGCGCTATTCTGAGCATAGGAAGCCTCAAAGTACAACCCCACAGTGACACACTTCCTCCAACAAAACCACACCTAATAGTGCTCCTCCCTGTGAGATTATGGGGACCTTTTACATTCAAACTACCACAGGGTTTGTCTGAGCTATTTGATTTGGTGTGTGGGGTGGGTGTTTGGGAGGTTTGAGACCTTTGGGGCAGGGGGTGTTGCAGGGACTGAGTATTACAGTATATCCTAAGCTGCATGTATGTATCTCTGGTTGGCCCAGGTGGGTTCGGTTTTTCATCCTGTCCTCCCTCCCACTTGAACGCTTCCCCCACAACCACCACGCCATGCTTGGATCACAAACATACATCGCTATACTCAACTTTTTTATTTCATTTTTAAGCATGTATGTATTTCTTTTGATTTAAAGAACAATCGGGAAATTAAACCAAATGTTTCTTCTGATTGCAGCATTTACCCTCCAGCTCCTGGACAGGAAAGCTCTCTGCGGTGGGCAGGGATGAGATTTGAGGAGGTCCCAGTTGCACACATTAAAGCAACCCACAACAAGTAAGAAAGGGGTTGCGTGCATGCGTGCGTGAGTGCCCTGTCAGCTGCTTCTGCCTTAGCCGTTCTTAGAGTAGAAGTCGGGGTGTCAGATGCTAGCTTCATCTTCTTTCTTTATAATGTTTACTTAAGTTTCATAAAAATATCAAATGAATTTAGTACATTGTAATTTTAAGATTTTTCTGCCTTCCTTGGGATTCCTATGCAAGCATTAGAAGGACTGTATTATTAGGAAATGGTCCTGTTGTGAGAGATACATTATTGATTGGTAAACTAACCAGAATATAAACTTTCGACAAACACAGGCCCTTGCCTAAGGTCCTGTGCACTGCCCCTTCCCTTGCAGGGAAGTATAATGGTGAACGATGGCAACTCAACTAGAGCCCTTGTATGCTGTACACACGCGTGTCAAGCAGGCTCCCAGCTACAAAAGCATGGGGGCGTTGGTGACAACAGGCCACACCCCACTTGGAAGTGTGATCTGTGTTTGGTCACAGCCTGCCTGCCACACAGCTGGAGTACAGCACCAGAGGTGCTACAGGGTCCACAGCAGTGTTTCCCTTCTCCTCCTGAGCTAATGCAGACATGAACTCTATGCTTTCTTTTTGTTGTTGTGTCTGTGACCTTTTCAATCCTCACTGCATCAGAATGTTTCTGTCCAGTGTATATAAGAAGCCTTTGGAGCGGATGACAGCCATGACGAAACCACAAGCCGTCAGGGCTAACCCAGCAGGTCTCCTGTACGCATCTCCACTTCCCCCTCCCATGAGCACCCAGAAAGCTCTGCAGAAAGTGGGGTGATGGTAACCAAGGGGAGACAGGAAGCACCCCTTAGGATTTTCTTAAAGTCATTCTTAATTACAATTTAACCCTTACAGAGCAAATTAGAAAAAAACAAAATAGAGTGTCATAAGCATTTAAATTATCCAGTGTAATAATATTGTCATGACAGATGGTTTTGTGGGGTTTTTTTAATGTGTCTTCGTGTTTTAGAGATAGACACTGAAATGATAGATCTTAGATTCTCTTCAAAACAGTCCACTGATGCTGGGTTGGGGACAGGGTTTAGAGGTGACACTGTATTGGATGTGAGTTGGTTATTGTTGGAGCAGAGAGAGGTGACAGGTCTCTGGACATCCATTCATATACTTTTAAGATTTATTTATTATTTATACACTGTTTTGCCTGCATGTGTGCCTGCATGCCAGAAAAGGGCTCCAGATTTCATTACTATGGTTGTGAGTGTGGTTGCTGGGAATTGAACCTCTGGAAGACCAGCTAGTGTTCTGAACTACTGAGCCGTCTCTCCAGCCTTCATATACTTTTTAAAACAACTTTATTATATTTTTACTTATTTGTTGGGGGTAGAGCTCAGAGAACATTTTGCACAAATTAGTTCTCTCCTGTTGCCATGTGGGTACACCTGTAACCATTAAGCCATCCCTCACATACTGTTCTTTTCTTTGTTATAGTGGAAGATACTTGGGACTTTCCAATGCTGTCTTTTTTTTTTTAACAATTGCCTAATGTGAAACATCTAGGTTTTTATAAAACACCAGACAAGGATGTTAACCTCCAACATGACCTCTGCCTTGGGGAAGGCTTAAGGCAGAAGTGTGTTCTTATTTGTTGGTCTCCCTTTAACATAGGGGAGGGAGCTGGTGTCCTCCTTTTCTTTCTCAGTTGGACTCCTAAGGACTGTAGCAAGCTCCCTCCTTTCCCTGAGCAGTAAGTAATAAAGCTATATGCCTCTTTTTCCAAGCACACAGATCCAGGTAGTGTCTGCCACTAACGTGTCCCTGGCCCGGGCCTCCTGTGGCACAGAAGGCTTTCGCAATGCTAAGAAGGGCACCGGCATCGCAGCACAGACAGCAGGCATCGCGGCAGCGGCAGTAAGTACCTGACCACATTGTTGGGTGTTCCCTGTGGCTGATGGTGGAGAGTTATCATTAAACCAGATTCAGAAGTAGGGAGCTCTTTGAAAGAGTTGTGGGTATTTTCCAGGACCCATAATGAATGTGTTTACAATCTGGATGCATACTTAACTCTAAAGATACTAAATCCCACTTTAGAAGAGGGCATTCAGGTTCCGCCTCCTTAAGTCTGCATTTGGAGAAAGATCGGGCAATATCTAGAAGTGTCCATTAGGTGGCAGTGCAGTTCTGCCACCTTAGTTCCTTGGCTCGGTGTTTGCCAGACTTTTCCCATGTCTATCTCCACTACCAGCATCAGTGCTTTGCTTTTTCTGTGTCTTCTGCCTCCGTGTTCACTTCTGTTGTTGCCATCACCCCACGTCTCCCGGAGACCATAACCAGAGATTGGGATGCAGCCCTCCTTTTCAGGGCCACTGACCACTTGTTTCTCTCCAGAAAGCCACAGGAAAGGGAGTGACCCACATCAGAGTTGTAGTGAAAGGCATGGGACCAGGACGCTGGGTAAGTAACTAGGGTTCTCCACAGCGTGTGTGCACGTTCTTTAGAGCCAGAGAGTTTAATGTCCTCTTAGTGAATGTCCCTTAGTTCCTCTCTGTTCCTACAATCAGCCAAGACCCTCAGAGCAAGCCTAGATCGTGTTGTTTATCTCCACTTCTTGAGTGCCTGTGGTCGCTGGGGGACCATCACAGACACCCTCAGCACAGACTAGCGGGGGCAATGGAGAAGAGCAGACCAGGGTGCTGGGGGCCGTCGGGGATCCGGCGACAGTGGGGCTAGGAGGCGACATCTCTCCGACTTTACAAGAATGAGGCATTGGGGTGTGAGTGTGTGTATCCGGGAGAGGAAGATGCTTGTGTAAGGCTGCTGGAGAGCAGGGGTCAAGCCTCTTCTCAGATGGTAAAGCACAACGTGGAGAGCAGGGGCTGGAATTGTAGATTATCAGCCGGTGACCTGCCCTCCCTCTTGGACCCCTATCCGGAGATGCTGGGTCATCATCATTTTGGAGACCGTGCCATTCGCCTGTTCTGATCCTTCCAGTCTGCCATCAAAGGACTGACCATGGGGGGTCTGGAAGTGATCTCAGTCACCGACAACACCCCTGTCCCACACAACGGCTGCCGGCCCCGGAAGGCTCGAAGACTGTGATGGGAAGGAAGCTTGCACTTGAGCCTGACCTAAAGTCCGGACTCCAGATGGATCCTGAGGACGCCCACTGTAGGAGCTGCTGGAGCTGGCAGCGCTCAACCCTCTGCAGGGGACATTGCGTCTGCTTGCACCTGGAGCTGGAAGTGCCCTTGAGGCTCGCCTCTCTTGGACAGGAGGGAGTGGGAGCTGCCAGCACAGCTGCCGCTCTGCTCTGAGAATAAAAGGCTATTCTCTGTGGTGGCTGTCAGTTTTTGTTCCCAGTGTTAGACTTGCGAAAGATTGTGAGTGTGCTTGTAACCCGGGCTGGAAGGGCTACAGTGTAAAAGGGGCTGCAGTCCACTGTGCCCCCTCTTTTCACACTGCCTTTATAGCCTCTTAACCAAGGTGCCCAGATCTTGTCACAGCCAACAACTGAGCGTGTAACCCAGGTGAGTGAGAGGTCTCCCCGCTCTGGAGTCTGTTAGATTTCACAGGTGGTAGGGAAGCTTGAGGTTAGCCCTAGCAGTATGGGGAGCATGGGGGGGGGGCTCTGAAGTTCAGATTTCCTGGGAGTGTCTATCCTTTATACTTCATGGACTTTGGCAGTCCCCAACCCTAGAGGAGGTTATCTCAAAAGCAGGCTGGTATAGAGTGGCATAAAACAGGATTTGCCGGAATGAAGTGTGGATAATGGGGGTCCTGAGAACTGTTCTGGTGTAAAACCTAGATGGTGCAGACAGATTGTCACAGCTCAGAACCCCAGGCTGCCACTCAGCCAGTCATGCACCAGTGCCGGGGATCAGGGCTCTAGAAACAGCAGTATCCCAAGGGAGACACATCTTCCTCAGCCCCTCTGCTGAGAGAGAGGTCACAGAAACTTAAAGGAAGTGCCCACATCCAGTGCCCCTTCTCCCAGAAGAGGCTGCAGCCCAGCTGGTGAGACCCACGGGTGGGCAGGAGACACTGTTGAAGCTGGACGTAGGAAAAGGCTACCATCATAGAGAAAATTAAGGAAAAATGTCTCCCTAGTCCCAACCTTTAGCAGGACCTGTGAGGAGTGTCCTGAGACCAAGCCTGCAGGAGGCTTCTTGTGTTAAAACCACTGTGGGAGGGAGCACCAGCATTTTGATATAAAAGTATCCAAACAATACATTAGAAAAGAGTTTGTTTTTTTATTTAGAGAATCCCACTGTGTAGCTCAGACTGACCTTGAACATTCTGAGTGCTCAATTTACAGTCACCATGCCGTGTGTGTGTGTGTGTGTGTGTGTGTGTGTGTGTGTGTGTGTGTGTGTGTGTGTGTGTTGGGTAAAACATGTGCAAACTGCAGCAGTTTCTTTATTGATGACAATAAAAATAAGATTTCGAATAAAATAGACTTGAAGGAGGCTTTTGAAACTATTCTTTGTGGTTTGCTATGGTTTGGCCTTTATTCAAGTGGGGAAGGGGCCTGAAGCAACCGGCTGTGGCTCAGGCAGAAGCTGCTTAGGAAGGTTCTCCACGGAGGACTGGGCAGGCTCAGGAGAAGAAAAAGGGAAAGCGGGGAGGAGGGGGTGGGGGATGCTAGATACTGACCAGTGCGAACACTAAGCCTGAGGGCAGGAAAGATCTGACCTCACAGGAGTGGCCACACAGACAGGGCCCCTCCCCAGTGAAGAGGAAATTCCCCGACTACTTTGCTCCACACGCTGGCTGGGCTCCTGGTTGAACCCAAGGGTTAGCCAAAGGTAGTAGTGTCATCCTTCGTAACTCAGGATAGATCCAGAAGGGCCCAGGGTGAAAAGCCCAGCTACAAGTGAAATCATCTGCTATACCCCACTGCTTGGGAAAGTGCCTCGCTTGTCTGGGTGAGGCGGCACATGTCTGTAATAGCGCAAGAAGTAGAGGCAGGAAGTATAAGACCTTTGTCAGATACATGGTGAGTTTGAAGCCAGCCAGGGCTACCTGAGACATTCTATCAAAACAACAAAAGTTGTCCTGTAAAAGGGCTTGAAAAAGATCAGGCCCACAGTGCAAAAATGCACCCCTGGCACAGACCTGGCCTCAGGAATCAGCCTTGTGTGCAACATTTTTTTCAAAGCTTCCCTAGGAAATAAATTGGCTTTATTGTGGCAAACTGCCCAGTAGCCACCGCCCTCTTCTTTTTCTGGTTTTATCTCAGCCTTTGGATATGGCTTCTCAAAGGCTGCCGTGTACCCCCTGGCAGAAACCAAGGCCTCCTCCGTGGAGGCTGGCCTGTCCAGGCAACTTCTGCTTCCTCAGATACTGGGCTGTTGCTACAGGCCCTTCTCAGCATCACGGTCTACCCAGAGAAACTGAGATGTGAACTCCCACATGGAGAAGAGGCATAAGCTGTGTTGACCTCCGCCCAGCAGACATTCTGTTACAGCATGTAGAGCACTGATGGCTTTACTCCTAAAGCCAGTGCCACAGGACTGGTGGTGAAAGGATGCCTTTCCTCTCCTGTGCACACAAAAACAATGCAGTCTCTGCTTTCTGCACAGAGCATTTTCATTTCTCAGCCAAGGTACGGTCGCTGCCAAGGGAAGCCTGTTTAACAGTGTGTCCCTGGATGCTAGCAGAATATCCCTCTGGCTTTCCAGAAACCATGTGCACCCAACCTGACTCTGACATGCACACTTGAAAGAAGAAAAGAGAAAAGAAAACAGAAGAGTGTAAGAAAATGTATACCTTTCCCCTCCCCCCTCACTATTCTTTGTTTTGCTTTTTTGAGATAGGATCTCACACACACACACACACACACACACACACACACACACACACACACACACAGAGTCCAGGCTGGCTTTGAACTTGCTGTGCAGCTGAAGACAACACTGAATTCCTGATCCTCCTGTTTTAGAAGCATCCCAAGTACTGGTTACTGATTTGTGCCACCATGCCCTGTCTTTGTTTCCTCTTTTCTTACTATGTGCTATTTAAAATTTGAATACTGTCAGCCCAAAGAGATGAGTGATGTTCTAGTTTGCTTTCTGTTACTGTGATAAACACCATGAGCAAAACAGTCTAGGGGTGGAATGTAAAAAATAAATTAATTAAAACCAGTCTGGGATTTATTCTATCTTACAGGTTAGCCCATCAGTGAGGGAAGTCAGGGAAGGAACTCAAGCAGGGTAGGAACCTGAAGAAATGCTGCTTACTGGCTTTCTCCCAGGTTCTTATACAACCCAGGCCCATCTGCCTAAGAATGCCACTTTCCACAGTGGTCTAGGCCCTCTTATATCAATTAGTAGTCAAGAAAATGCCTTGACAGGCTTGACCACAGGCCAATTTGATGGAAATTTCTCATTAAGGATCCCTCATCCCAAGAGTGTCAAATTGACAACAAATACTAGCTATCACAAGTGAACACCTGTCTTAAGAGTTTTTATTGCTGTGAAGAGATACCATGACGATGGCAACTCTTATAAAGGAAATATTTCATTAGGGTGTCTCACCGTATCAGAGGTTCTGTCCATTATCATCATGACAGGTGTGGGGACAACAGACCTTGGCCAGAGACCCACTTCCCCATCAGCCTGGGACCAGGCAGCTGTAACACAATGTTTACTAAAAACATGTTTACTAAAAACAATATAATGCCCAAGGCAATAAGATCCTGAAAAGGGCTTGCCCACGGGAATCCCCCTGACCTCGACCTTTTCCAAAGACTAACCGCCTCTTCTGACACACCCAACGGCCTTTGGTGTCAGGGTATATAATAGCCAGCCAGAGTAGGAATAAAGGAGAGCCTTCTTGAGAAGCCTTCGGGTCTTTGTATTGTCAATCCCCAATACCCTCCGCACATTCTCGGACTGGGCGCAGCAACAGGGAGCATGGTGACAGGCAGATGTCGTGGCAGATGGAGGAATACCTGAGAGTTCTACATTTGCAGGCAACAGGAAGTTGCCTGACTGTCACAGTGAGGGAAGCTTGAGCAATAGAGACCTCAAAGCCCGCCCTCACAGTGACACACTTCCTCCAGCAAGGCCACACCTCCTACTACTGCCACTCCCTTTGGGGGCCATTTTCTTTCACACCACAACACCCAATTTCCTTTTATCAAAAGCAAAAACTGTCCACTCACCCGATCTGAGCTGTGATGGGCACGGAGGCTAGACATGGGGAGCACAGAGGTCTAGTGTGGACACTGCTCTCCTGGGGATAAGTCTGAGGCTAGACAGGCATGTAACAAAACTATGAAGATGTTCATTACAGGAGGCATAAATGTTAGCAGTGTTTTTGAGAGTGGTGCCTTTAAGAGGACAGAAGGGGAGGGGCTAAGGAAGAAGTGGCACTGGAGACAGGGTCAGATGGATCAGTGCATGTCACTTGAAATTTGATTCACAGCCAGGGCAGGAATGAGAGGTCATCAGTTTACTGTTACAACTTATTTGTCATGGAGGCTCTTGGAATTGAGACTGAGAGGGAGGCATGGAGGTCAAGGCTTACCAAGGGATCAGAAGGAAAGCATGGGGTGAAAAAACCTGATAGTTCCACCAAGGCTAAAGACAGCTCAACTAATGTGATGGAGAAAGGATGTGCATGTAGAAGGCTGTGGCCAGGAAAGAACTTGAGTGTCAGGTCTTACAGAAAACTCTATCAGGATGTAAATGTCATTGCATGGTGTCTTAGTTAATTTTTGATTACTGTGACAAAACGCCATGACCAAGTGTAGTGATAATATTATTTATTATTTATTAAAGCTTGACTGAGGATTCAGAAAAGCAAAATCAGCCTCAAGTTAATAGAGATCAGGCAATGGTGGCACACACCTTTAATCCCAGCAGCCAGAAGCTAGGAGGTGGTAGTACATGCCTTTAATCCTAGGACTCAGGATTAAGAGACAGACGATCTCTGTGAGTTCAAGGCCGCCCAGATCTACACAAGAGTGAATCAATCAAAAAGAGAATTATAGCTCACACCTTTAATCCCAGGAATCATGAGCATTATATAAATCAGTATCAGGAGTCAATATGAGTCATTCATTCTCCACACTGAGGAGAGGTTACAGTCGGAGACTTGGTGAGATAGGATTATCCCTTTCAGTCTGAGGAGAGGTAAGAAGCTAGTGGCCAGCTGCTTTGCTTTTCTGATATTCAGCTTGAAGCCTGAACACCAATATCAGCAATATCAGTCTCTGGATCATTTATTAATTCATGTTATAACCAAGGCAACTTATACATGCAAGTGTTCAGTTAGGTTTACAGTTTCAGAGAGTTAAAAGCCATGATGGGGGAACAAAGTCATAGCTGCAG